AGACTGCTGCCCAGAGGGGCGGTTTTGAGGCAGAGGAGCGGAGATGGCGGGGTGACTGCGACCCTCTCTCTGGGGAGAGGGAGTGAAAACGGAAGGCAGCAATGTCTGAGCCGGCCACGACGCACAATGACCCTGGGCGCTCAGCCGGGTTGGGAGGGCTGGGAGCCGGCTGTCAGCACCACGCTGCTCCTGACTGAGGGGCCAGGGGACACTGACCCCGGGGACCTGGCTCCGTAGCCGTCTTCTGAGGGGTCCTTGCCCCGGCCAGGCAGGGCCAGACAGACCCTTGGGAGCCCAGCAAGGCCGTTGTCCGGGCCTTCTGGGAGCACGCGGAGAGCAACCGTCTGATTGAAACTATTCCCTGCCCTGCCCTGCCCTGCCCTGCAGCCCGGTGCCGCTGGCACTAGCAACTACGTACGAGGAGCGGGCGCCTCTCCGCCCCGAGCGCCGCGGGCAGGAACAATTGGGAGAGGTGAGGCTGGAGCCCGGCTCCAGTGGCACTAGCAACTCCCTACGAGGAGCGGGCGCCTCTCCGCCCCGAGCGCCGCGGGCAGGAACAATTGGGAGAGGTGAGGCTCTCCAGGGAACCAAAGTCACCGATGCCTGTGTCAGAGACCCCCCCAGAGCCTGTGTCAGAGACCCCCCCGCCCTGCGCGACCGGCACTGGCAGCCTACGTGGAGCTGCATGTGAATCTCTTCCGGCATCTCCTCGCCGTAAGTCTTCAGCAGGTCGATGGTTTGCTTGAGGGGCTCGAACATGTGGTCGGTCACCGCCTGCCTGTCTTTGACTCTCATCAGGTGCCCCATCACCTCCACCAGCCCGTCGTAGTCGCCCTCTTTCAGGGGCTTGGTCAAGCCGGCGTTTGCCTCTTTCATGAACACCGCCAGCCCCTGGAGACTGCAGGAGAAGGCGCCTGTGAGACCAGGCCTCCGGCCGGCCCTTTGCGATCAGGCCTGGGCCTGCTGACCATCACTGCGGCCCGAGGGCTCCCCAGCGGGGCTCCCTGGGCTCTGGCACCTGAGCAGCACCCCCAGGGCAAGGCCCTTTGCAAGGCCGGGTGCCCAGGAGTGGGGCTGCCTGGGGCAGGTCTCCAAGGAGAGCAGGAAGGCGGGAGGCGGGGACACCGGTGCCGGTGATGGAGCCCTCGGGGCCGCAGCGAGTTGCCAGGACACCGGGCGCAAAACCTGGGGGTGCTGCAGCCCCCCGGACGCCTGCTTCCCACGTCTAAGCACTAACCCGGGGCACCTCCGGCCCGCGGGCTGGCTTGCCTGGATCAGGCCCACGAGGCTCAGCGCTCCCCCCCCTCCTCGAGTTGCCAGGACACCGGGCGCAAAACCTGGGGGTGCTGCAGCCCCCCGGACGCCTGCTTCCCACGTCTAAGCACTAACCCGGGGCACCTCCGGCCCGCGGGCTGGCTTGCCTGGATCAGGCCCACGAGGCTCAGCGCTCCCCCCCCTCCT